ATAAGAATTGTCAATAAAAATTCTATTTCATTTTTTATTAAATATTTATATTTCACATGTATGGTCTAAAGATAATAAAAATTCTTATTGTGTTTATATCTAATTTCATTTTATTAAATACCTATATATTCAACACAAAAAAAATTATAAAATATTTTCTTAAGTACAGTCTGATGTCATAAGCCAATCAGAGAGCTGTATTAGCATCTTAAGACATTGGCTGCGTTCAGTAGAAAAAGCAGCTTTGCAACTATTGTAAAATTCTTTAATATAATTCGTCTTGCCCTTAGTTCCTCACTGGATAACCTAAATGTATAAACCAATTATATTCAAGAATTTTACAACAGTTAAAGCTGCTTTTTCTGCTAAACACAGCCATTACTTAAGACAATCTTAAAATAAGAATATAAATACCCTAGACACGAAGATAGGATTCGTTCATGTTCTATATATAAATATATTTGTTTTCTTTCCTTTCAAAGATTCTTTTGTTTTAATAAAATTTTTCTGATTTTTTGAACACTACAAATGGAATTAGGAGGCGATAACTCTGATATCTCGTACCGATTTACTCGGTCCATATTATCGATACGTCAACGAAATTAACGTTCTTTATATCGAAAGACCTTTCCATTGCGCGGTAGACCTAGTTTTTCCTACACTCAGGGCCGGTGCCCTTTCGGGGCATCTCCAGCGATTAAGCAGATTTGAAATTAACGGTTGAGACGGATTATTAAATTGAGTTAGTGGCCCAGAGCTGTGGGCAAATCACGCTGTCGCAATTTTCAGAATTGTATGAGTCGGAATTAATATTGTAGATTACATAATCACATTTCATATTTAAAAATACCTTGAATTATTGCAGATTTTATAAGTATTTTTTATATTTTTATCTTATACGTATAATATAAATTTGGAGCTAAACATTTTTGGAATTAGGAATGTATTATACTGATTTCGTAGTAATTTATTATTAATCCTCGTATCCTTTCCAGCACATTAAATAATTTTTTTCTATTAAAATCAATTTCTAATTTATGATTTATCTAAATTTTTCTCATTCACACGCAATAGAATAAAACAATAGTACGGATACTGTATTATGCAAAAAGTCAATTTGTATAATTGGAAATTACACATAAATAATTTAAGATTTTGCAAACTGATTAAAAATTAGAAATTCGCTGAAGTATGTGAATTAAAAAAGAGAGTACACATAACGAACAAAGGCTATTGTGTATAACCGCAAAGAATTCCAGTCGACTATTTATTATTCTATTTTCAAGAAATTTTCTTTAGAATAAATTAGAAAATTTTCTATACAAATAAAGCAAGGCTATGTTCAATCAAAGGGGCTTTTGATGTCTAATAATATTTTTGTGTGAATTTTACGATTTTAATTTCAGTTCGAATAAACTGCAAACGTTTATTATTGAGCAATAAGAAAAAAAATAGAAGTGGATCTAAAATATTATTACGTTCTACTTTCCGAGGGAAGTATATAAATTTGCCAATAAATTAAATTAAAATCCATCGCAATAAAATGCATCTCGTCGATTGAGAAATTGTGTTAAATCCGTGTTACACTACACCTTAGAGATTAAGGATTGCGAATTAGAGATTAAAATTTGACTTGTCAGATAATTTTAATTCGTTTCGTTTTAATTAGCTGAATTTTAATTTTCAATTCGCAATCTTCTCAATCTTCAAAATACATATATGATACGAGCTTTAGGATTCCTGATATTCCGATACTATTATATATATCTAACTAAGCATATAACAAAGCAATAATATTCGTATAATTTATTACATTAATTCTCACCATTCCATTGGTTTTCTTCCATCAAAATCGATTTCTAATCTATGATTTACTCAGAGCTTTTCCATTTACACGCAAACTAATAGAATCAAATAATCGTTTAGATGCCATATTACGCCCAAAACTTTCAATACGTAGTGACGCAGACTTTAGGATCCTTGATATTTCGGATGCTGTTAGATTTAAGCTTAGCGGAGCAACGATATATCTATATTCATATAATTTATTACATTAAATAATCCTCATACCTTCCCATTGATTTCCTTCCATCAACATCGATTTCTAACCTATGATTTACTCAAGAGCTTTTCTATTTACGCGCAACTAATGGAATGAAATAATCGTTTAGACGCCGCGTTACGCAAAAAAGTCTAAATTGTATAAACCATGGTTCCTCTTAAAATGCAGGGAGTCGAGGCTACATGTTCTCAACGGTGTGTCGGTCTGTCGGTGAACGTCGGTGTGCGATGGTGTGCGGATCGTGAAGTTAGTGGCGAAGTAGACGCGGCAGCGGCGAGCGGAGCACAGTTGGCAACGCTGCGTCTCGTCACGACGCGTCGCTGTCCGCGCATCGCAACTGCGAGGCAGTGGCGGCTCCGCCAATCAGCGCGCCGCTACGCTCTCGTTTCCTCCCCCTCCACTCTTCTTCCGCTCTGCCCCCGTAGAAGCTTGAAAATCTGTAACGGACACCGCAACCGTCGCATACTCGTCTTCGGGTTCACGCAACGCGTTGGTCTCTGTACTCGAGTCAGTTCGATAGTAAAAGAAAAAAATAAATAAATAAATCGCCGTCAGTTGCCGCCACATTAAGGTACTCAAGGCTCGCTTTTTCGAGAGATCACAAGTCGGTGAATTTTACGAGAGCAACATGAGGGAAATCGTCCACATCCAGGCCGGCCAGTGCGGTAACCAAATTGGAGCAAAGGTAGGCCACTTTGAGAATCCGATTAAGAATCGATCACCCCTCTCGAACGAGAACTGTCGCTTGTCCTTTGTCCGCGAATTCCTAGCCTTCTAATGTCTTCTAGAGTCTTCTAATGTCCCCATCCATCAGTCTCGATTAATCTCCGGTTCACTCATTCTTTATCTCTTTCCAATTCTTAGAAAAGGTACAAAGTGAGTTAAACGGGGATTAAAGCTAATGTAAATTGATAGAAATAGATACGAGGCCAGACGGTCGACGGCTGGAATTTTGCGAGACTCGTTAACGACGAATCAAGACGCGATATATGTATACATATAAGTAATAAGGGCGTTTTCGATCGGGATCAGCGGTCGCCGTGACCGCGCCATTTTTCCTTACCGCTCGATATCGCGGTCGAGGAGAGCAACCGTCGGCGGGAACGAGGACGCGCCTCGGCGCTTATTTTCCCCGTCACTCGCTGAACGACACGCTGATACGGCGAGGAAACGAGGCAGCCTCGCCCGCGCAGCGGTCGAAAACCTGTCATGGCGACAGAAGCTGACCGGCCGGCCGGCGAGCCTAACGGTTTTTTCCCCTCCCCTCCCCCCCGATTATTTTCTCTCTTCGAGTTTGTGCAACCGCGTTCCCGTGCGAACGCGTCTCGTCGGCCATCTTCTCTCGGCCGTTCGTCTTCCCGTGGATAAATATTCCACATACGTCGCGACGAAGGCAGGGAATTTGCGGATAAACGGAGCTGGTCGTCGGTGACCGTCGCCGAATTTATCTGCCACTCGGCCAGGACCGACGGATCCCGAAGCTGGGTGTGGCGAATCTTTATTCTCTTCCCGGTGATGAGAGAGAGATCGCCGATTCACGCGACGGCCCGATGCGGCATCGACCGGTTGCGCGCGCATCTCTTTCTCCTCTCTCCTTTTCATCCCGTCTGACATTCTCCGCTTTTCTGTCTCGTAATAGTAAGTACTTTATCCGTGTCGGTATGCAAATGTTACTCTCTGCGATGTGGAAAATATGCGAGACACTTGGTTCTTGTGATAAGAAATGAATCGTGTTTTAGATGTTCATGGATCGTTACAGCTTCGATTTTACCGTGAATAAAGTCGACTGTCATAGCTTTCATTCTTGTACGTCCATCTTTCCTCTTCCCCCTCCCTTCGTCCCGTTCAGTCTGGCGTATGCTAAAGGTTGAACTCACACCGAATTCATGAATACTGATCGTGATGAGATATATGAGATCAAGGAGTTGATTATGCATCTTGAAACGAGATGAAAATTATAAAAGTGAGCGAATTTATTGGAATATTTATAACTTTATTAATCAACAAAGTAAATTTATTCACTTTTGTAGCTTTCAGCTCGTTTCAGAAATAAACACTCGACCTTCTGAGTATGTATTGTAGAATTATTCCGAATTATTAATTCAAAATTATTCCATTATACCTTACATTTCTGTTGTTTTTTTTTGTTTAGGAAAAATTCCGGAATAATTCCGATCGGAATGTTTTCGTTTCGAATAATATGTGCTGTTTTTTTTTTCTTCAAAGAAAGTACTGAATTGAAGATGGATTGAAATGCGAGGAAAATTACAAAAGTCAGCAATGTCAGATGTTGATCAATGAATGGAATTATAAATATTCTAGTAAATTCATTTGCTTTTATAATTTTCACCTTATTTCAAGATAAACAAATGTTCCTTGTGTCTACTTGAGCAATAAGTTGGAGTGAAATAAATTTATTTATTTTATTTCAATTCTTATTGCATTAATATACACCTATTCAGAATTTTCTTTGAAAAATTACAGGCTTTTTTTTTTTTTTTAAAAGAATTGTATTCAGATTCCTACCACGCAAATATTTTATCAATGTTCAATATTGACAAGGATTGAATGATGCCTGTGTCTAATCTGTAATTCTTTGTTATCATTATATTATTATTGCACTTTTTATATTCATATAATATAACGATAATCGACACTGTCGTTAAGCTCTGATTTTTCATTGCTGATTAACTTGTGATTAGGTTTAACCCGATGGTAATATAAAACTTCTATTTTTCTATATATGGTTATTTAATAATAATAACTAAATTGTGACTTTGCAAATAATTTTTGAAGTTACTACAAAACTATTAGTTTAATGATTGATCATAATTGGAAAAATACTATTACTGTGAAATTAAGTGAGGTTAAATTTAAAAATTTATAAATTAACTAGATAATGGAAAATCGAATCTAATGTCTATTTCTATCAATGTAGATTAACTTTAATCTTGGTTTAACTTACTTCTTCTAGGACTCGTTTCTATCAATGTAGATTAACTTTAATCTCGGTTCAACTTGCATCTTTTTCTTATTCTTAAAATCAGAAAAAGATTTAAAGAGTTAGTTAAACCGAGATTAAACTGCATTGGTAGAAATGGGCATAGTGCTTAGAAAAAGATAACCAATTAGACCGAGATAAAAATTAATCGACCTTGTTGGAAATTAGAAATTGACATATTGAACATTCAGGTGAAAATCTAAATACACTCTAGGTGACACAGTCGACGCAGATATCGTTCTATCTTTGCTATTTATTGAATACCAAGAAGGATATTTGTGTCGATTATATTTTCTAAAAGTGCTGCTAAAAAAAAAAGAAAGATCGCTACTAGCTAATCTTCACTTTACACGATTGACGTAGAAAATGTTACTCGATCTTTACGAAGCCTTCAGCTTTCAGATTTTCCTTCTGGTGGCACCGGGATTTGTGAGAATTGTACGATTTGGGCAACGCAAATTTTCGCGCTCCGGTGTGAACGCTCCTTCAAGCAGATGAAATTCCTGCGTCGCGTCCGTTGGCTGCGCGGCGTCACGATCGCGTTTAACGGCCACGCCAGCGTCGGTTGCATGGCGGGTGTATTTTAAAATTTTTATACGACACGCCGTTAACAGACAGCCGACGGGCGCGTGGCACTGTGTTATCGACACGCAGTGGGACGCTTGTTAATCGTGCGAATCGACGTTTCCGTTTCAGTTCTACGTGCACGCGCCTTTATTCTCTTTTCGTCGTTTCATTTCTCTCGCTGACTTATCGATCTCTCTCCGGTATTATTTTTTCCTTTGTTTTAAACTTAGAAAAATGTCGCGTTGATAGAAACTCAAGATTTTGATTACTAATTTGATGCGCTAATTTTTATATGAAAAGAAGTACCTATATTTTGCTGAAGTACCTATTTAAAAGTTTGGCTAAATACAAATCTGAAAATAACTTTGTTGTACTATCAAAATAATTATGTACACAATAATACATACCATACACAAGTAATAATTACTTGTTTCAAATGTTTCGAAATATATCCGCAAATTTATCACGTAATTTAATCAAATTTATTCAAAATGTATTCTTATTCTAGTAAGTTTGATACTTCAATCACAAGATTAAATTAAAATAAATTCGTTTGTATTGCTTGAGCCACTTTTTTCGATCAATTTTATAATATTCTATAATAAAGAAAAAATTCTTATTTAAGTACATAATGAATTTTTCTAAAATTTATGACAAATATATTTTAAGATTATCAAGAAATTAATTATAAACTAGTTATAATCGTCACTTAAAAAGAACAAAGTAAATTGAATCCATAGAATGATATTTTTCTGTGTGTAGTAACTTTAAACATACTAGACAATATTGCAAAAATTTTGACATTCTAGCAATTACGCAATTTGAGCATTCTATATTTTGATGTTCTAACAAAATTATTTTCAAATCCATATCTAGCTAAATTCATACTTCAACAAAATCGTTCTTTCCGTGTCTAGCCCTATTTTAATTTAATTTATTTGAATTTCTTCAGTTTCATTTTTTCTGATTTCTAGTTTGATATAAATTTTTTCCTTTTTACTTAAAAACGACAAATCTTTAACATATTGCAACGAATGGAAACTAGAAGAATAATACTCAAATTTTTAATATATAAATTTTTGACGTAAAGATTATGTAAGAAGACACAAGTATTTATAATGTAGATCGATCTTTAATACTAATGTTAAGTAATCATCTTATCAGAATAATCGACGATAAAGACTGCACGAGAATAGGTAAAGATCGAGGAGAAGCTGATCAACGTTCGTCGTCACGCTTCCGTAATTTTTAAGGCTGCTGCACCAAGTCAATGTCCGTTTCTCGAGCTGTCTATCTCAATCGATTCGACGTCACGGTAGCGTAACATCAAAGGCTATTTTTTACCGTCTTTTTTTTTATAACATACTCCTAATAATGAGAACGTATAGAACGGAAAATGTTTTCTTAAGTAATTATTATCGCGATTAGCTCTGCACTTTTTTAGTTTTCAACTTATCAGAACTCGAGATAAAGTTTATTTGATAACCGAGTTATTGCTGAGGGTGTGTAAAGAAAAAATAAATTCAATTTTAAAAAAGTCTTTTCCAAAACAAGATGTATCTTTTAATTTCAGAAATTTTTATAGAAAATAAAAGTAAAACCTATCAAAAACATTACGTACTGATAAAATATTAAACATTTTATTACTCCAAGTTCTCAATTTGGAACATATTATAAATTTTCTGTAAAATATGCCAGAAGAAAATAGAATGATGTTTATTGAAGTAAGATGCTTCGAAATGAAGCTTGTACTCCCCGAAAAAATATTAAAGAAAATTAAGGCAAAATTACTGTGAAAATGATAATGCAGGAACTACTTTCTACTACGCGAGCTTGTATAATCCATTATACCAATGTTGCTCATTCAACGACGCCTTCGAGTCCAAGGACACCGAGTCTCGCGTAGCACAGCAACGCGTTCCCAAATAAAGGAAACCAGCGATATCTTCTCGCCATTTTCTTTCGCATCACCTCGGCCCGTTTCGCTCGTTGCCGACACAACCGGCCCTCTTTCTCTCTCTCTCTCTCTCTCTCTCTCCCTCCCTCTCTTTGGATATAGCCAGGTGTATCGATCGTGTCCGGTCGCAAGGCTGGGTTTTGCCTACTATCGCGAACTCGATGACGATTACTATTTTATGATTCAGTTTTTTCACATTTTAGTGTATTGAAATAAATATAATTAAAGTCGTTAATAATATCTCTAATCGCCAACTGATATCTTCTATGAAAGACAGTCAATCTAGTATTCTGTAAGATGGAATGTAATTCAATGTTGTTACTCTCTCTTTAAAATATGTAACATCTTTTATTATTAATATTATAAGAGAAATAATTCTTTATAAAGATGTATATATATTTATGAGAAAGATACGTAGTCAGTGCGAGGTAGTTTTATGTTCTCATTCAATAATCTTTATATTACCTTAATTACAAGGAAATATACTCCAAATCTACATTTAAACGAGGTGCGTAATTAATTCTAATTATTATATTTCTACATGCGAGCATAAGCATTCGTGTAAACTAAATGAATTAGGATCCGTGATGGAATTCGTTTTCTCTCATTTAAAAGTTTGTATTATTCAGTGTAGTGTAATATGTAATATTGTTCCTATATAATACATGTACTTCGTGCCGTTACGACCAACTGCTCTCATAGAATCAGTTTACAACGAGAAGTAGGAGTATTAACATTATTTATTTCTTATTAGCCAGATTACCTTATCGCATTTTAAGACGTTTATCAGCATAATATTTGAGCTTAAAGTAACATTTTCCGACCTTGAACTTGCTGAGTAAAAAACAGTGATTATTAGATAATTAGTCTTTTCTAAAGATCTTGTTTTATTTTTAGCATTTTTTAATTTCGATACTGAAATTAACACTTTGACGTACATATGAAAAGAACGTTTATGTTGAAATACCTCAAAATTTAGCTATTGTAAATAGATATAGATCTAAAAATAATTTTGTTGGATTATCAAAGTAATTATAGCAGGACGCTCAAGTTAGAACATAAACAATTTTACAGCATTGTTCATCAAATGAATTGTTGCATAATTATTTAAAAAATTGAATTTCTTACATAATTATTTTTGTAGTCCAATTTATTTCAGATTTTTAGCTAAATTTTTAAATGTTTTAGCAAAATTGGTTCAGTGTACATTCCTATACAGTCTAAATAGAGAACTCTTGTCGAATTAACCCTTTCTGTTCTACGTCTCTTTCATCCATCTACCGTAAGCGGCAATTCATTAAAGTTAGTAGGACCCTCGGGATCGCTCGTGGACCAATTGCTGCATCGCGTATCCGCTCGGTGGTTACGCAATCCGTAATGCAGCATCGCGCGCATGGCATGTATGCATTTAGAATAACGGTACGGATCTTTCACGCTGCTTCCGGTCTAGCAATGATAACCTACGTCTGTCGCCAGCTGTCGGCGATGCGAAGATTATGAGTTCTAAGCGCGTGAATTGATCCGAGAAAAATGGGACAAATTGAAAACATAAATGGACAAACATATCACCGCGGTGCATAACCGGGCGATCATTGCTAATCGTACTGTCGTTCTACAATCATCTCTATATATAGCGGTGACATTGGTGACTCATATCTGACTGTAACATGTACATTGCGACCAGGCTGGACAAGAAGGTGGAGGTGGTAGGGTGGGGACAGATAGGGTTGGGTGATCTTAGCTTTCGAACGACGATGATCATATATGGTCACTGCTTAATGCACCCATCGTCTCCATGTGGGATGTACGTATTGAACGGTAGGCGGATCAGACGTTTTTGCGATGACTTTCACGTAGGTTGTATATGGACTTCATTTCATCAGAGATTATTCAATAACGGAGCTTCTTGTCAAACGAAAAACGATTCCACCAAAACAACATTTGACTCGATGGAAGTTGCAAAACAACTGTCAAGATAAAATTATCTGCAGTACTCTTATTTACCTTCGATCTTATCTGCCTGTAATTATTGACTATATATATATATATAACTTTTTAACAGAGTAGTTACTGAGGAAATATAAAATATAAAATAGAAACTAAATTAAAATAGTTTCGTTTTCAAACATAATTGTGACAAGATATTTTTTTAATTATGATTTTTATTTCATAGTTAATGGATAGTTACAAGTACGTGGTCAGCGGCAGATGGGATTGTTCTCTGTTTTGCGAATTTAGAATTGGACACGATCAAATTGGAGACAGCGGATTTCCGCAGTGGAACGTCTTGGTTGTGAAATGTCAGGAGACTAATAATTTGCCGAGTAACGTATAATTTGGTACCTTGCCACACTCTGACGTAAAGTCGCGCGATATTCCGGGCCTACGATAAGATGATTGAGCTATCAGGACGATTACGTTCACTTAACCGTTTCTACCTACTTGCATAGCTTTGTACTTGAAAATACACACACGCATCTCTTGCACGTTGCTCTCCAGAAATAGTACACCGTGGGTCTTTGAACCGTGTTCCTGAGATGGAATAGAGATGCGCCATGGACCGCACGCGGACTATTTTGTAATTAACTTCCTCTTTTGTTTGCAAATAAGATTACATCAGACACGCCCAGTCATATTCTGACTTGCTAATGAGAAAGGGGGAGATGTTTCAAACTATCTTTTTTGCATACAGGTTGATCAGAAATTAATTTGGTTCATTAATATTAATTATGTGTACTTGCAGTAAACTATATGGTACTTCTCAGCAAATTTTTTTACGATCTATTCACGCTATTGCTCGTAATCTAACGGGTGAATAAGTATTCAATTTGAAAATTATGCTATCTTCGCTAAATTGAAAGTTTCGAGCGATTTGACATTTTAGCTTGGAGCACCGATTATGATTACCTTTACTAGTGAAACGAGCGCTTCCGGGAGATTACGTGGCGACGGTCCATCACTGAAGCATCGTTGTACTCGTTACATCGCGATGCGCTTCGATGGGCCGATCGACTGGTCGCTCCGAGACAGGAGAGTAACCGCGCTTACGATAATTAGTCTCGATTATCGCTCGGGCGATTCGGTTACACCATCGAGAAGTAGGCTTGCTCTGAAAACATGCAAAAGGGGAAAAAAAGAGAAACACAATTCGATTCGCAGAGTCCTTGGGATATTACGATTAATTACACGCGAGCTATTCGCCACGCGCGAGGTCGTTGAACGTTAGCTCCGTTCGCGCTCGGTACAATGAAAGGTTGGAAAACGGATACGAGAATAATTGCGGGGAGAAAGCCGGTGCGCGAAACTTCCTTCCTACGCGCGGATGATGCGTGATTCAAAAGGCGTATCTAATTTTTGTGGCAGCACCGATTCGTTCCGGTATGGACAACACTTGCTAGAAATACGCAACACATTCTTATCTCCTTTTCACGATAATCTGTTTTTTAGTAACTTAATATATATAATATATATAAGATATAAAGCTCTTTTTAATGGAAATATTCTTACGAGATGATTTTTGTGTGTTACAGTTTTGGGAAATCATAAGTGACGAGCATGGCATTGACCCGACTGGCACCTACCACGGTGACTCTGATCTCCAGCTGGAAAGAATCAACGTCTACTACAATGAGGCGTCCGGCGGTAAATACGTACCGCGTGCCATCCTCGTCGATCTGGAACCCGGTACTATGGATTCCGTACGTTCGGGACCATTTGGCCAGATCTTCAGACCGGACAACTTTGTATTCGGTCAGAGCGGCGCTGGTAATAACTGGGCCAAAGGCCATTACACCGAAGGCGCCGAGCTGGTGGATTCTGTCCTCGATGTTGTAAGAAAAGAGGCCGAGAGCTGCGACTGCTTGCAGGGATTCCAGCTTACGCACTCTTTGGGCGGTGGTACCGGCTCCGGTATGGGTACCCTCCTCATTTCCAAAATTCGTGAGGAATACCCCGACAGAATCATGAACACGTATTCCGTTGTGCCGTCGCCCAAGGTGTCCGACACAGTCGTCGAGCCGTATAACGCCACCCTTTCTGTACATCAACTTGTCGAGAACACCGATGAGACTTACTGTATCGACAACGAGGCCCTTTACGATATTTGCTTCCGCACCCTGAAACTATCGACGCCAACGTATGGTGACCTAAATCATCTCGTCTCCCTCACGATGTCCGGTGTTACGACCTGTCTGAGGTTCCCCGGTCAATTAAATGCCGATCTTAGGAAACTTGCCGTAAACATGGTGCCCTTCCCCCGCCTTCACTTCTTCATGCCCGGATTTGCACCTCTCACATCCCGCGGTAGTCAACAATACAGAGCTCTCTCTGTACCGGAACTCACCCAACAAATGTTTGATGCCAAGAATATGATGGCGGCGTGCGATCCCAGACACGGCAGGTACCTCACAGTCGCTGCCATCTTCCGCGGTAGAATGTCGATGAAGGAGGTCGACGAGCAGATGCTCAACATTCAGAACAAGAACAGCTCGTACTTCGTCGAATGGATACCGAACAATGTAAAGACCGCCGTGTGCGATATTCCGCCGCGCGGTCTTAAGATGTCCGCCACGTTCATTGGCAATTCCACCGCCATCCAGGAACTGTTCAAGCGTATCTCCGAACAGTTCACTGCTATGTTCAGGAGGAAGGCTTTCCTTCACTGGTATACTGGCGAGGGTATGGATGAGATGGAGTTCACTGAAGCCGAATCTAACATGAACGACTTGGTGTCCGAGTACCAGCAGTACCAGGAAGCTACTGCAGACGAAGACGCAGAATTCGACGAGGAGCAGGAAGCCGAAGTCGACGAAAATTAAAATAAATATTTCGCGGCGGAAGCGACATTCTATCGCCCTCTCTACCTACTCTCTCTCCTCTCTCTCTCTCTCTCTCTTTCTCTCTCTATCTCTTTCTCGACCGAGCGATAACGCAATACACCCTTCACCCATGCTTCTTAACTCGTTATCTCTCCTTTTGTATCTTTTTTACGGACTTTTGTTTCGATCTTTTGCGGAGCGCGCGCGCGCTTTTTGTTGCTCCCCGTCGATATCGCACTTAGTGTGATAATTCGAAGAATGATTTCTTATTTTTGAATGTATCATTCTACAAGATTCGTTACTTTCTCGATTACTAATTTTCGCGCGCCCCTACCATCATCCACTGTACTACCGCTCTAAGCGGACGCTACATATTTGAATAAATTATTATCATATGAATCTGTCGTCACTCGTACTATTCCCTGATTATTAAAACCCTAGTACTATTGAGTTTTGTATTTTCGGAAACTTTTCGTACATATTTATATTCGATGCAGTTTTATACCATGATTAAATAGATGTGAATAAAAATTCATAAAATATACGTTGAGAGTATTGATTAGATATTCAGTTAATCTGATACACAAAAGTTAAATTAAATAATTTACGAAATAATACATTATTACGAAAAAACTCAGTTTTGAATAAATGTACAAGCGTAATTATAAGAAAGACTCGAAATTTAGATTGACGGAAATAAGATGTAATATTTGAGTTTGACTCCACATTTATTAAATTCTTTTTTACAAAATTGTGTATTTTCTATCATTAAAGGTGGCACACAATTGGCATTTGTTCTAAAACATGTACATCAAATAATAATAAAATATTACATTAAGTAAAATATTGAAAAACTGACAAACTTCCATTTGCTTCTCTCGTAAGCTTCAAAATCATAATTTGAAGGTCTCGTATTCTTTTATGCATTATTTGTAGGGAAATTACTTTTTATTTATATATACACTTAGAATTGTTTTTATTATATGAAGTATAATCAAGTATAATCTACATATATAGTAACAGGAAATTAATTTACATTTTTTAATTTTTTATACAAGTGCAGCAAGCGATGTTTGTAATTTCCTACAGTTTTTTGCGTTCTTCTATTCTAAAAAAGGATTTATATTCTGCATAAAGGAGGAAAAAGAAGAAAATAGAAAATACAAAATACGTGTTTCGTCGGTATTACAGATTACAAATGATGTCAATATCTTCAGTTTTTTTTGTGTATCATGGCCCTTACTGATTTATCTTTGCATTCTAGAGACATCTGTATTTTTATCAATTAAACGATATGATTTTACAATTTTAGACTTATATATAATTAAACTGCGTAATTACTTAATTATCAGTAAGTGGAAAGTACGACCGCGTCTTGCCGACGGAAGTTACAGATTATTAGATGCTCGTACTTATTTACTGTATGTTAATTTTCAGATGCGATAATTATTCTTGAGGCTACAAAAGAAGATCCAGTAATTTATATATTTTATCGCTCTCTGAACGATGATCATTGTCAGAAAATGATAACGATTTAATTATGGCTTAAAATTAATTTGTGTTAAATAAATTGATTTGTAAAATTAATTTGTGTTAAATATATGCATATCTTATACTTCACCAAGTTAATTCAATAAATTATACGCCACTTTTAGCAACCGTGAAATATTCCAATAGTTTTACTTTACAGAACGCAAAACGCTTAAATTTGCATTCATACTGCGATAATGAAAGAATGTCGAGCACATCGCTCTAGCTCGTGTCGAGTTAACGGATTAACGGAGATACAGTTAAGCCGGCGGAATCAGCGCGTTTCGGCCTCATGCTGAGATTGATACGTGTTCCACGGACCGAATGCACGGGAAGTTGAAACACATTGTTAGATTTTCCTCCGCGACGGTCGGTCGGCATGCGAGAAGCTCGACCTGCGCTCAAGTCGGAAATAACCGCGACCGCGTTGCGACCCTGCGCTTCCGGTTGCGCCCCCTTTCGCCCCTACTGAGATTATTGCCTTATCTTGTTCCTTTAATTTCGCACAATTGACCACCGCCTCCGTGGCCCGCGTTGACAGTCTCCCACGATCTTCGGTTCCCCCAAATTAATCCCAGCATTTTACGATCAGATCATTTTATGATTGCCTCGTGATTTTTCACTTGCGCTCTGCAACAACGTCCAAAGGAGAACTTGAAATTTATAATTATATTTTAATAAAAAATAGATATATATTAATATAAATAATTGCTTAATATGAATCAAAATTATAAATTATTTTATATTTTTGTTTTTTTTA